CCCGCCCCGCCGCCCGGCTGCCTCCGCCCGGCCCGGCCCGGCGTGGTGCCGCTGGGAAGGCGGAGCTGCTCCGCGGGGCTGGCCCGCAGCCTGGGGAGCCCGGGGCCCCCGGTGACGTGGGGACTTCTCCCCGTGCAGCACGGCGCGGCCGCGGGCTGCGGGGCATTGCCCCCGGCAGACACGGTGCGCAGGCGGTGCCCGCGCCGGGACATGGGGTGCAGCCCCCCGGGCTGGACACGGCACTCGTGAGCCATGCACCGGAGCACGGCAGGCAGCTGCCTGTGCAGAGCCCCTTCTGCTTCCCCACAGAGCGCCGCCGCCTCGCACGCACTGCCGGGGCTCCCCTTCCCCGCTGCTGCCTTGTGGGAATCTCGCTGCCTTCTCGGCTTTGGCAGCAGCTGACGAGTGGGTCTGCACTGTCCATCTGGTGCAGTCTCAGCTTTGCCGCCAGCAGCCTCCTTGGCTGCTTAGATACATTGTAAGATCATGCCAAAGCATTAAGATGGAGAAAAACAAATAGCTCCCCAGCAGAAATGCATGACGGAGAGGGCCAGTTTGTGCATCACAGAGGATCTGGCATACCAAGTATAGTAGGTCCGGCGCTGGATTTCCTGGCAGGCTAAAAAAAGCCTCCATGCCCCAAGGGATCCCATCCCTCAGCAACAAGTTGTAAAGCCCGGAGTCTCTAAGTCCCCCTGAGCAGTTATCGCTGTTTGGCACTTTTTTGTGCATTTAGCTACAGTTCTCCATAGCAACCACACAGATCTCAGCTTGACTTGCCACCAGCCAGGAGCGGGTGAGCGGAACGTGTTGCACGCTGGCTCTCAGTCGTGTTGGTACGTGCCCAGGCTGGGTGCTGATTCCCGTCTGTTCTCCTGAGGAGGGGACCCGCTCCGCTGCCTTGGCACCATGCCGTGGGCAGGGGGCCTGCTCTATTCCCTGCAGGTGTGGATGCTTGGAGATTTCAGCACCAGGGTTTCCTGGTGCTGAAGAAAGACACCAGCCTCTGCCACAGGGTTCTAGATGTCCTCTGAACCAAAATTTCTGTTGTTCTTGCCTGCCAAAGAAGGTTTTGAGCGTTTTTCATCAGCTCAGTCCCTCCTGCAGCCTTTCAGGTCACTGCCATGACCAACTCTCCTCTGCTGGACATCCCCATGCAAGCTGCTTAATTTTTCTTTGAGTTCACTTATTTGTATTCAGTCCCTCCTGCAGCCTTTCAGGTCACTGCCATGACCAACTCTCCTCTGCTGACATCCCCATGCAAGCTGCTTCATTTTCTTTGAGTTCACTTATTTGTAGTTTCCCTTTTCTGCCTCCTCCATGCCAGATACAGAAATGAGAAGGCATTGCATGCAGATTTCTCTCTGCCCTCCTGGTTCTCCCAAGATCCTCACAGCTTTGCTTATAAGAATTTTGGTTTACTTTCCTGGGCCTGGCTTCACTTTGTTTAAATGTTTTCCAGCGTCTGCATACAGTTCTGGTCCTTTCATCTCAGAAAGGGTAATAGAGAATGGAAGAAGGTTTAGAGGCAGGCAGTAAGGATGCTCAGAGACATGGGAACAGACCGTACAGTGAAAAACTGTAGGCTGGGACTCTTTAGCTTGGTAGAAGGACATACAGTGGGGAAGAGGTCTACAAAATCATGTGTGGCCCAGAGAGATGGGGAGGGTTGACTGTT